AAAAAAAACAACTTTTCGTAAAACTATTTTTCGATCGGAAGACTCTGGTTCACTTCAGGAGACTTTTGATAACAATACCCAATTGTTTATTTAACAATTTTTTAATACTTACGATGTTTTATTAGTCCCTCCACTGCATTCTTCGGGGTTTTGGGGGGTTTTTGGCGGACCTATAAATTATAGTTACTACGAAAAAATTGTTAAATAAACAATTGGGTATTATTATTGCGAATCTCTTGCAAAGAAATAGAGTTTTAAGAATTATGTACCATTTCTACGAAAAGTTTTTTTGTCCATATAAAACAACGTGCGACAAAAACCCAAAAATGTATAAAACTACCGAACAAATCAATGTATTCACAAAACTAGGCGCCAAATATAATATAACTGCGTTTTTAATTTTTCTCTATGACGTCAGGATTTTTTTTTAAGGACTGATTTTTCTAGGATATGATTGAACAAAAAAATTTTTTAAAAGATTTGGTGCATGTACAGTAACAACATGGGTATCAATTAAAAGGAAAAGCTCTGTAGAATTGAAAAAATTAAATTTTTTAGTTCACCAGGACGAATAAGTGTTGAAAATGTCCTTTTAAAATTTTATCCTTGAATATCCCGGGAAATTTCCAATATTTATTTTTGAAAAAAATATATGTCAATGATATGTAAATTATATATATATCAATTATATGTAAACTACCACATCCCCGAATTTCGTCCTTCTAACTTTATTAGTTTTAGATAAAAAAAAATTTACAATTCCCTTTATAAAAAATTGAAAGGTAAAATATACATAAATGAAGATACTGAAATCATTACACTGTACAGCACTCGGCTTGGTATCGGACTAAATCATTTTTTTAAGAGATTGATAGGTAAAAAAGTAATTTTTCCATTTTTTAAAGTTAGCCTCCGATATCGAGGTATGGGCCTTCGAAGTTCGAAATAGAAACTTTGGTAAAAAATTATTTTTTATTATTATATGTAAATATGTAACTAAAAACTAAAAATATAGACGTAGTCCGCCTTTTGCTTTTATTTAAATGGTATATAACTTTTTTTGTGCAAACTTATATTACAGGCGCTATAAGGGGCCAAAGGTCGGATCTTCGAAACATTAAGTTACGTTTTTTTCTATTCTACATAATTTTTTCTTTTAATTGATACCCATATTGTTATTCTACAATGCACCGGACCTTTGAGTTTCGAAGTCCTTTTAAAAACATCCTGCCGTCAGAGAGTAAAAATATATATATAAATATATAAAAATATTTTTTGATTCCAAAATAAAAAAAATAAGGGTATATTTTTTCGGTATAGAACAATCCTAGGGGGTGAGAGCGTAAAATTCCATTCCCACTTATTCACATGCATTTGTGGACCACCCTAATGTACATACGTATACCCGATCGACCATTTGGTAAGAGAAGTGCAATAGTGCCTGAGAGCAGGTTACATTAACAGGCAATTGCAACCTTTTCTCAATCTTATTTGTATACACCTTATTAAAATATTAATTCACAAGCAGTTTTACAACGCAGTTGAGAAACGCTTATTATGATTATAGCTTATTTAAAGTAGGCATGCTTAAAAAACAATCACCCTTAACAAACCGATGTTAACTGGTATTGGGAAACACTTATTTATCGCAATAGTTTGAAGAAAGTCAGAATAAGAAGAAATATGTATATGTAAGGTCCTATTTTGTTTTCCACCTGAAATAATTAAAAAAATTTATTGTGTTCCAAATGCAACCGTGGACGCCGGCTGGCAGTGAAGCTTGCAAATATTTGCTAATTTCTGTTCACGACAAACTTAGTAAGTTTCTCTCTTTAGGAGAGTAAGATACCTTATTCTCTGAATTTTGATACTGGCTAATTCTTACTGGCTTTTGCATGGCGAACAGAACTGTTGAAAGTAGCACAATCATTCACTTTATGTTTTATGCGATGCCATGGCTCTCGTAGCAATTTTTTATACGCCCCCTATTACAATGCATTGGCTTCAGTTTTATTATCGCAACACTTTCCCTTTAGTTTCGGTTTTCATCTCAAAGTTTTTGCATCTAACATGGGAGTAGCTATTCTAAAATTTTTGACGCTCCTGATATCCGCCTCCTTGAGCACCAGTAACAAGCGACTCCTGGCGAATCCCGGTTTCGATAGTGCCGACTCGTGGGAGTCCGGATACCTGCCTTGTGCACTCGAAGAAGTTGTTTTCCCCGAAACATATCCAGCCGTGCTACCACTTCCAACCAAAGTGGACATCAGCGGAATCGTGTTACCCCGCGATGGTGCCCTTCTGCTCAGCGACGAGTCGACAATTACGCTTGGAGGAGAATTGCAGCAGAGAGAATGTCAAAATGGACGTAGGTGCCGTGCTTACTTAAAAATTCCTGTGACTAGAAAGTGGTATAACCCAAGTAGTTGGCTAAGTTCCGCGTCTCAAGCCCAAAACAAGGCTATACCACATTTGGAACGCGTTCCCTGTGACAACGAGACAGTGGTAATGCCACGTAGTGGACCGCTTTCGATTGATGTGGAGAATTTTCCTTATTTGAGGATGGGCCATCTGAATTAGGCCGGATCTCTCATATCGAATGACTATCTAAATTACTTGATACACACTGATATCGGTCAGCTTTTATTCAAAAATAGTCTGGATACAATGGCGCAGTATTATCACCAGGATCCCTGCGGCTGTCATATAGACGCTTTAGTATTTTCGGAACCCATTTGCAAGAATGTGGCAGGGGAATGCGACCGGCCGCACTGTCTGGTGCCGGTAACGCCCCTTGCAAGTTGCTGTCCAATATGTGGTTCTGTGTTGTCATTCAAAATGGATTACTGCAGCGAACGGAATTTAAATAAATTACGGGAACTATTAGCAGCTTCTGTTCAGGAACAAGGGCTTACAACCGACTTAGATTATCACATTACCTACGTAAATGCAGAGCCATATGGAAACTACTTAGAGGCCATTATTGCCGATCGTGAAGCATACTCAGAGAAGAGCGTGAAGTTTGTGGCCCAATTGAATGCAAGCACCGATTGGTCAAAAGTCTTTGAAAGATCGTACAAAGTGGATATTCTTATATCTGGACGCCCCTACAATCCGAATATAACATTTGGCTCTGTGCTGCTCATCATTTTGTGCTTGATGTTTGTCTCGGTGGTGGCTTTGGTAATTTTCGCACACAATGCGCCCGATCATCGCTATTTGCGCTACGTACCGCAGTGGGTCTATGATCCGAGACGTTGGCGTGCATTGTTAGTACGTCCCTCCTTCGTGTTTGCACGGTTTGATAATGTTACGGACAGCGGTGCAGAGGCAGATGCGACCGATGGCATTGCCATGGGCTACGATGCAGAAAGTGGGCAGGTAAGGGAGCGCGCTTTCGATAATCCGATGTTTGGCGAGAAATTAAGAGAGACCGGTGCCGCAACTACTGCAGCCGGTTTTGCATCAACCAGTGCAGCAGCAGCTGGCAGCACTTCAACAACGAAAGCAGCTATGGTTGTTGGCTTGTCAAAAGCCACAGAACAAAAGGTGGCAATGAAGTCAAGTGGCAACAAATTGGAAAGTGTTACGTTGGTCGAAGCCATGGAGGGTGGAGACATTGAGGAGGAACAAGAATTGACTGAAATCACACTCGGCGATTCGTCGGCCAACAACAGTGATGACGAGGAGGAAACAAAGGAGTAGTAAAGTGAACGAGAAACCTCAAATGCATATGCATGGCATATATAAATATCAATATTATCTGGATAGGATGAGCTAAAATATTTATAATTAATATATATATGTATGTATGTATATATGTAATCATTGATTCTAATAAATATAAATAGTAACTCGTTTTGGTTGGAATAAATTGCTCTATTGAAGAATTGCGTAATAGGAAAATTATGGACCAAATATCCTAGAAAAGCAAAATATACAAAACATTGGCGTAAGATGGAGATGTCCTCCACAAATTTTCCACATGTTTTCCATACTCTTGCTAAACTTATTGTGAATGTTCAGACTTGTCTGGTTATCTGGTATTATTCTCTAATGTATTTTATATTTTTGCAAATTGAGTTAAACGTATAACCCCGTAACCAGATAACCTTATTAGGTTCTTTCCTTAACAATCCGGACCGGATCCGGTAATTAGAGAATAAGCGAAAAGTTTGCTCTCAAAAATGAATTGAGAAACAGCTTATTCGCGTTGTTTTTTGTTTTTGTCACTTAAATGCAAACACTTGGAAATTAAATTTTTGTTTCACAAATTTGATTTATGAATGTGTAAAAATGAAAATTTTGGGAAATCAAGTTAGAAAATGTTTTTTTCTTTTTACGAGACTTAACTCTACATTTATGCAATTGAAATTGTAAAAAATTAGGTTTCCGTGTACGCATGGTATTCTGGGATTTGGTATAACATAAAACATCCAAAAGTTAATCAAGCCAACCCAATAACTCAAAACTGTGCATGAGATTCCTAGCCCTTTTTTATGTATAACCCCCTCTAAAATTATGTTGCTCGACTTGTTCTTTTTCTAAAAATTGCTATCAGTTTTTGATTCAAACATGTACATACATATGTATACACAATTTTCGCCCAAGTCCGTTGGATGTTTCTAATTTAGTTATACACTTTCACTGTTCAACGGCCACTACCGCATTTAATCAATAAATTCACAAAACACCACAAAGTAGATTCCGCTGCACTCAACTCAAGCCGATAAGCAGCTCTAGTATTACCATTTATTTTTATATGCTTTCATCTTTAGCACTTTGCTGGTTTATCAGCTGTCTGTTCGCCTTTCAGGGGCTTCTAAACATGTATTCTGCCAAACCACCCGCACATCTGTTAAATATGTACATACA